GACTTGCCTAGGATAACAGTTACTAAGTGTCTGAGGTCGAATTTGAGTTCAGGTCTTCCTGACTCCAGGCCCAGGGCTCTCTATCCACTGTACTACCTAGCTATGAAGGGTTTTAAGTGGCAAACTGAGAAGTTTGTACTTTATTCTGGATGTGGTACAGAGACTAAAGATTCTTACGCAGTGGCAGACTTTGTTTTAAGAATGTTAATTTGGCAGCTGTGTAGATGGTGGATGGGAGATGGGAGAGACTGAGATCAGGGAGATTATGCTGCTTGAATTAGGAGAATGAGACAGATTTGAAAGTTGTTGATATAGAATTAAGATTTGGCAACTTAGTGAATATGTGGGGTGAGTGCGAGTTAACTTGAGGAAGACACTAAGCTTGCAAATTTGGGTGTCTGGAAAGATGGAGAGCTTGAAAAAATAGGAAAGTTGGGAAGACAGTTTGAAAGGAAACAGTGTTTTGGACATGGTGAATTTGAGAATTGTCAGTTGGAAATTCAGGACTAGATGTCAGGAGAGACATCAGGGCTGGATATATGCATCTAAGAGTCATCTACATAGAGATGGTAATTGGACCCAAGGAAGTGTGTGTGTTTGTGTGTGCATGTTTGTGTGTGTGTGTGTGTGTGTGTGTGTGTGACAGAGACACAGACAGAAAGAGAGACAGAGAGGAGGGAAGAAAAGGAGGAAGAAGATAGAGGCAGAAAAAGACCCATCTTTACAAGTTATTTTACATCATCTCTAATATGAATTTGTCTTCTTAGTTACTTGTCTCCTAAAAGGTAAGTACAGGGGGAAAAATCACTTAGGGCTCCTGATTTAAAATCCTGTTCATCTACTTTTGGTATTAAGATATCTTTTTTCATACTTTTTTCATAGTAAACATATCCTTTAAAAATAGATCCCTGGTGATTCAAAATTAATGTGCCATCAGATTTTTTAATGTTATTTTATAATCATTACCAATATTATTTAGTTGTGTCTTATAACTCATTTTTATTAGTTTGAACAGTAGAAATAAGGGAAGCAAGTCTTAAATGTCAGACAAATACAGTTAGAATAGAAAACACTTTTTATTGTTAAATTTCAAAGATGGACTGAAATAAATTACTTTTTTAGGTAAAATGTTATTAAAACTCTCACTAATAATTATCTTTGTATGTTTAAGGGTACTTTTAACCCAAATATGTGGACAAGGACAGCATACAAGAGTGACTAAAATGAGTTTCCCTAATCTCAAATATTTTGCTATTTTGTCTCCTAGCGTGTATATGCATATGAATACAAAGCATGATATTCCTTTTGAAGGTGAAACCATTATTTAAAAATAATGAACAGATTATTGTTTTTTATTCTAAGAAGTACATCTTTTTATTATTTTTTTCTAACTGATCCATACACTTAAAGTTGGGAATGTGATTTTTAAAGTATCAGAATATGAAGGTCAACATAGATGATAAGAATTCATATATTCAGACAAAGCAACCAATGTATCGCAGATATTGTAAGAATGATATAATTGGATTTGTGATAACTGGAAGGATAAAGATTAAATGAGTTAAGCAGACACGCTTTCTGATGTGGCCAAAGCTATGGAAGGTGCACTGCATAAGAAGCATATGGAAAGGGCTTCTTTGAGAGCATGCGGACACAGCACCATTCAAAAGGGGACATACGGAGAAGAATACTTTCCAGACAGCTGTCTCTGAGAAGACCAGTTGTCTCCAAAGCACATTGTATCATATTACAATTATCTTGAAGTCACAAAATGGCTCCCTTTATGTTGGAAGAAGGGGAAGGGAAGAGAAGGGAATAAGCATTTTAGCGTCTACTATGTGCCAGGCACTTCCTTTCTTATCCCAGATGCATTAATGTTGTCTATGCAGAAGCTTTTCAGTTACAAGTTCTCTCTTCTGCTGTAGACACGGTGTTATGTTCCTTCATTTACTTTATTTTAGCCTTTTATCAGTGTATCCTTGTTTTCCCTGGCTTTCTTACCCTCACCCTTGATCCCCTCTCCTTTGATATTTCCCCTTCATCTCCTCCCCTTCAGTCCTGTTCATTAGCTTTAAAATTCCATGTTTGAGCCCCTTTCCAAAAAGCATTTCTCTCACTTTCCTCATTATCCATTTTCTCTTTCTGTTTATTCTATATGACCCCTATAATTTATTGGTCACTCTCTTTTCTCTCTATTCTTCATGCAACCAAAGCTTCCAAGGCATCTGTTCTAGGGTAACTTGGTCTTGATCTTGGGAACTAAGTTGTCCCTCTAGGCATTTTTTAGCACTTCCTTGTAGGACTTGCCCCTTCAATTTCCCTTTTGCAGGGTGCTTCCCTTGCAGAATAAGGCCAATTATTGCAGGTGATGGAGGACATTGCCCTGAGGTAGGGCCCTCCCCCACTGAGATCATCCTTCATTATGCAGCTCACCACCAATCTATACCCTCTCTTGTTGACCTTTTTTTTTTTCCTACGTTTGCCTAGAAATTTCCTCCCTGTGTCATTTCTCCCATTCCTCCAGGTGACATTTGTCCCCAGGGGGTTTATTTCCCACCTCCCAAGACCGGTAGAATTTTTAAGCACCAAATCTCCCAGGTTTAATCCTACACCTCCCTTCACTGACCATTTCTCATTATCCATAGGAACATTCATCAGTGAAACCCTCTCTCATTTCCAAAATGAGGCCTCTTTCCTTTCCTCGCCTCACCCCCATGCTCCAATCCACTCTGCTGTAGGCTCTAATCTTTCTGAGACCTCAGAAGTCACCTTCCCCTCATTGCTGGATTTGATCTTGGCGTATCATTCACTCGTCTCTATCCCACTGCTCCCCACCCCTTTACATACACTCCCATGTAATGTAGTCCCCCAAAAGAAGCAGTCACCTTCAGTCGACGTGTCTCCGAGTTCTGTCTGTAATGCCCTTTGTCTGCCTCTTCCTCTTGTAACCTCTACCTTCGCTCTGTCTCGTTTTGTACATTTAGAAAGATGTCTCTTACCGGATTTCTCTGATGTCACTCTGTTGCTATCACTTGCCTGCTACATTTATTCACTCCTCCTGCATTTCTGTTTAGGGTGTTTGAGAGCATATAATCTCTTCAGTTCTTTGTTCTTTCTAACAATGTTTCAAACTCTTCTTTATTATTCAGTATCCATCTTATGTCCTATATGGTTAGGGTAGGATTTGCAGGATAGGTCACTCTGGGCTACATCCTGAGCTCTATTGCTCTTCAAAACTCATCATTCCCTCCTCTTTTGTCTAGTGGATGAGAATAGTTTTATTTTATTAGAATGTCTTTTCTTTTGTATTTGAAAGTATTTCTCCTAATGTCTTGCAAAACTTGTTTCTGAATAGAATTGCTAAATTTAACCACCACATGTCTTGGAGTTTGCAGTTGGGTACTTTTGGAGGCAATCTGCGAATTCTTTCAATTATAATTTCATTTTCTTTGTTTAGAAGTTCTGGGCAGTTCTTTTCTATTAGTTCCTTCATTGTGGAGCTAAGGTTTTGTTTTTGTACATCCCATGTTCAAGTTCAGTATGGTTTTTTTTAATGTTTTGTGTTGTTTTGTTTTTGGTTTTTTTATTTTTTTTGCTTTTTGGTGAGGCAAATGGGGTTAAGTGACTTGCCCAGGGTCACTCAGCTAGTAAGTGTCAAGTGTCTGAAGCCAGATTTGAACTCAGGTCCTCCTGACTCCAAGGCTAGAGCTCTATCCACTGGGCTACCTAGCTGCCCCTCAAGTACAGTATGTTTTGTTTGCATAGTGATAATTTTTTTTTCTTTTAACATTACAGTTTTTTACTTCTCTTCTTTTAGGTTATCCTTCATTTCTGTGTGTTTGTATTCCTAATTTATTGCTCTCTCTTTTGTTTCTTTGGTGAGGCTTGCCATTGAAAATTCAAATTTTTCTATTCTGTTCGTTATTTTTGACGTGCAAGACATAAATTCTGTTCTTATAATTCCCATTTGTCCTTTAAACCACTCAGGAGCAGTGTGCTGTTGTCCCATGTTCTCCTCTAACTCCACAGGCTCCTCTGTCTCGTCAAGTATTTCCTTCATTTTGTAGTGTTTATTCATAGATACCTGAACTAGTTTACTAGATCTGGAGGCCTTATTTCTTTCCATTATTATTGTTTTTTCCTGTTGATTTATCTGTTTATGTTCAAGGTCTTTGAGTTTTCTTCTTTGTGGAATCTTTGGGACTTTCATTCTTTTTGGCTACTTATTTTCCTTATCACCCACTTCCTGACTCCCTTCTGACTGTGGTTTCCTTGGAGGCTGGATCTCAAAGTGTCTCAGCCTTCTCCCATGTTGGGCAATTCATGGTCCCCCAGCCTGACTTTTGGGTGGTTGGAACTGGACGCAGCTGGATTCTGTGCTCTTCCTTCAGACTTCGAGGAGTCGCTCAAATGCAGAGTGTCCTGTCCTGGTGCCCTGTCCCTCTCCCTCTGTTTCTCAGTTCTCTGACCCAGCCCTGGCAGTTCAGACCTTTACAACCTTGGCGTTTTCAGGTTTCAACTCCTAGAAGGCTTTTGTTCCTGAAAAGTTGTCGCCAAACTGACTGTCAAGACCCAAGCAAAGTTCCACAGCCTAAAACCAGGGATCTCCAGAGCAACATAAAGAGAGAGTAAGGACCAGGGTACAGAGTGGCTTTTGATATAAGGCTTTGTCCTGTCCTTGGGTCTGCTAATGCAGCTTTGCTGTTGGTAGTAAGGGAAGCAGGAGAAGGGGACTGAGTCGAGGGGAAATGAATGTCAGTTCTCAGATTTGGGGCTTTTTTTTAAACTTTCTTTTGTATTCTGGGTGTCCTAGATCATGGAGACAGCTGAATTTACTTTATCTTTGGTACAGAGTTTCTGTTTTGGAGAGGTTTGAGAGGTTGTAGGGAACAGAGAAAATGCCAGTCCACCCTCTTGTTGTTCGACTTTAATTTTTTTAAATAGCTTTTGACCAGATGTTTGAAAACATATCTTAGATTTTATTTTTCTATTTTTTTCAGGCATACAAATGGTATGAACTTGGACACAAGAGAGGTCATTTTGCATCTGTTTGGCAGCGTTCACTTTACAATGTAAATGGACTTAAAGCCCAGCCTTGGTGGACTGCAAAAGAAACTGGTTATACTGAGTTAGTGAAGGTGAGTGCCATTGTCCACTTAACCCCAGATTATCTGTGATCTCAAGAAAGGAATACTGTCAGCTATGTAACATGAGACTGGAAGAGGCAATGAAATTAGGACAAATCACCAACAGATACAAAATTCAGCTGTTTAAAGATGCCTCCATTGTGAACCGTATCACACTGACTGTCACTTTCTCCCTCTTTAAAAAAAAAATACATATGCACATGTGAACATACAACATTCCTGAAGAATCCATGTTTACAATTAATTGGAGGAGAGCATGTGCAAGACAGACATGCCCGTGGCATTTTGGAACCGGAAGGGAAGTGCTTTCAATGGAGTATGTCTTGCAAGACTGTGTGCCAGGTGCTGGTGATACAAACAACAATGAAACAATCTCTACTCAGAAGGAGCTTGCGTTCTAATAGGGGAAACGACAAGTACATATCAAGATAAGTGTAAAGAGAATAAATAAAGCTAAACACCAAATAGTTCAATGCAAGGAAGTTTGAGAGGGCAGTCATTAGCAGCTGCGGGGATTAGGAAAAGCTTCATGTAGAAAGTGGTGCTTAATCTGAGTCTTGAAGAAGAAGGAGGAGGATTCCATGGGTGGTCTTTGCTTATTGGCTGAGTACCTAGTAATGCTTTAGTCCTTGGAGGTTGCTTGCTTTGTTCTCAGTGATTTTCTTTTTCTTTAGTCACTTTTATCTGCCCCTTGGATAATAACACATGTATATGCATACATACAGACTCTTCTACCGAGGTTACTTACTATTTTCTGTCAGATTAAAGCTAAAGTTCACAGCCTCCACATCATTCAAGACTACTTTTTCCTAGGGCAGCTAGGTGGCACAGTGGATAGAGCACCATGCCCTGGAGTCAGAAGGACCTGAGGTCAAATCCGGCCTCAGACCAAACACTTGAAACTTAACTAGTTGTGTGACCCTGGGCAAGTCACTTTACTCTGTTTGCCTCAGTTTCCTCATCTTTAAAATGAGCTGGAGAAGGAAATGGTAAATTCCTGTGGTATCTTTGCCAAGAAAACCCCAAAAGGGATCCTGAAGAGTCAGATATGAATGAAAAATGACTAAACAACAACAAGGGGAAATTAGCTAGAAAAATAGCCAAAGTGATTTCTCCTTGTTAACTAAAATGGGCACATTATTCTCTTCCATTGAAGCTTGCTGTTTAAGGGATTCTTTTATGAACAACTTAAACTTTAAAAAAAAAATAGCAAATCACTAATGTTAGTCACTTAAAGCCCACATTTCCTGTTAAGCTTACTTGATTATGGGAGCTTTACTGGTTAGGGCAAAGAAATCCTTCTCCTCAGCCTTGCCAATCAAGTGTCCATTTCCAAATCCCATTTCCTCAGGGTTTCCCAAAATGGTACTCAAGTTCAGCTTATGTGAGCCCCTGCCTGGTGTATCCTGTATTAACAGCAGGAAAAAAAAGGAGTATAAATTAATAAGAGTGACCACACCAATACCAAATTCCCTAACGTTAAATTTGCTTTTGAAACTCAGTGCCGAGTAATTTGCTAAACTAGCTATATATGTAAAGGTTGTATTTTTAAAATTGACTTGTGACTTTTAAAACTACATATATGTATATATATATGCATCATGTATATATGTGTATATGAAAAATATATATGTGTATTTGTGCATATGTGTATTACATATATATTTTAGTTATGTACATAACTAAGTATACACATATGGGCTTTTAAAATTGATCACTGACCTAGAATCACCATAATAAGAGACAGTTTGCTGTCAGAAAAAATCCAGGTGTTCATTAACCATTTATTTGGCAGTCAATGTTATATTAAGATACCAAACTAAGACAAACCATTTATAACAATTATCTTGACGTTGGCACTTGAGTGACTGCTGATCAGTCCCAGGGATGTGTTTTGTGAGGAAGCAAAAAGAAAGTAATGTTCCTTAGGGCATGGAAATAAGTTAAATATGTGATTCAGGACAAAGAACACTGATGCTGGCATCAGAAGACCTGAATTCAAACCCTGCCTCTAATACTTACTACCTGTGTGATCTTGGACAAACTATCCAGCCTACCTTGGACTCAGTTTCCTCATCCGTTCAGTGACAGATTGGACTAAAGACCCCTTTAGGCTCCTGTCAAGTTATGCATCTGTGGTCCTATGAATCCAACGTTATCTGGGGGCTTTTTTTTTCCTTACTCAATAATCATAATTTCTGCTCATTTTGGTAGCTCTTTGCATAGGGTTAACCATCAGTGCAACTGGACACAATAATTTGGAGGAGAATTTCCAAGTTTTCTCTCTTAGCTTCATTCTCATTAAAACTGTAAGGAATGCATCAAAGCGCCAAGTGCCTTGAGGATACTTAGCATAGAAATTGAAACTAAAATGGATTAAGGTTTTTGCAGTGAAAGAATCTCTCTTCCAGCCAGAGAAAAGCCCCCATACCCTAAGAGTTCTGTTTTTCCCTATTTAAAAAGATTGTTCATTCATCCGCACAATGCTGCTGCTAATTTCGATGTAAAATGCACACTTCAGAAACCATTAGAGTAACACCAAAACCACTGCATTAGCCAGTAGAAACAGAAAGCTGGCTAAAAATTCTCCTTTTGTATTTGCTCATCCTGACTCTCTATAATCATCATGTAAAAAATGATGGGGAGAAAAAAGCTCTTGAAGCTTTATTTGGATTTCTCAAGGCATGTGCTCTGATGCAAGCAAACAGCATCACAGATAATTTTGTTCTTTTCTCACATTGAAGTTTTATTGCTTTTGGAATGGATCCCAGGATTACTTTGCCAATTGTTACACAGTGAGGAAAAATGATTGATTAAAATAGCACTTGCACTGTCATTTTTCTTCCAGAACATGGTTTTTATTAATTGAGAAATTAATTGTATATGAGTACTTTCACCTGGAAAGAAGACCCTGCTAACCCAGCCCATTCAGCAATGCATTAGTAGTTTTGAACTTAGTTCCCAAGCAGCCAATTGTCTGAGTGATTTTTTTTGTTCTTAAACTAAAATGATTACAAGAACAAAAAAAGTGAGATTTTGTGGTAGAATTTAATTATAACGTAAGTTTAGCAGCTTAATGTAAAATAAATGCCCACCAAATCAAGAATAGAGTAAGTGGAGTTTCTTATGATTCAAATAACATCTAAATCCAGCTTTTTTTGGTTTGTTTGTTTTTTAGGCAATTGGGGTTAAGTGACTTGCCCAAGGTCACACAGCTAGTAAGTGTCAAGTGTTTGGTCTGAGCCTGGATTGAACTCAGGTCCTCCTGACTTCAGGGCCGGTGCTCTATCCACTGTGCCACCCAGCTGCCCCTTAAATCCAGCTTTTTTAAGTCAAGTTTTGAACTCTGATACACTGGAGAAAGAATCCTTACTAAGGATGAAAGCAAAATAATGTTAAGTCATTAAGTGATCTAGTGATGGACTAGTTTATTGTTCTTATTCTCAGTATACGTATAACATGCATCTGCATTCTGTTGTAAGAATAAGAGTAGCGAATACTTACATGGAATCACAATGCTACCGAGAGTACATGAATGTCAAATTCTTCATCTCTGAACATAATTGCAAACATTTTTAAAACGTTCTATAAAAAAAAGTGTGCTATTTCTATTTTAATAGATTCTATAAACGGTCACTAGTAGCTCTGTCCGCAAGAATGACCTCCCACATGGACCAGTTCTATAATTCCTTCTTTTTTGTTCTTTTCACTGTGCCCATTGGAAGTTCTTGTGTGTTATCCACAAGCTTTCTTTTATTCAGATCTTTTTTTATATTTTAGAATTAATTGAAATCTGACTTTTGCCTAAGATGTTGATACTACCTCCTTTACCACTGACTGTAGTGCTAGTTATTCCTTAGTTCACTGGGCCAGGAGGAGAAACTAGCACATTCTTTGTTTTCTACTGATATCTGAAGACTTATATTAAAATCATCAATATTCTCCCATTTACCTAGATTCAAAATTGTGAGAGTCATCCTTGACTCTTCCCTCTCCTGTTACCAATCGTCACCAAAATTATAGTTTGGATCATTAAAGGAATGCTTTGTGAAAGGGGAGATTGTGATGAATATAGGGCAGCATGGGAGAACAAGTCATACCAAAGAAATCCTCATTTTCTTTTTTTGTCAGTTAGGTATTAGCTGATAAGGGACCTGACCTAAGGATAGTATATATGGATTTTTCTTTCATGTGGACAGTATAGTAGTGACACAATTGTGTGCTTTCAAAATAGGTTGACCAACTGGATCCAGAGAGTGTTAATTATTAGCTCAGTATCCATGAAGAGTCCTAAAGGGGTGATACAGGATTTGACCTTGCTCCTCTTCTGTTCAATTTCTTTATATTTGTGACTTGCATGATGGCACAAGTAGCATTCTTATCAAATCAATTGCACAGGTCTGAGAAGGGTAGCTAATAGATTACATCAACAATAATAATAGCTTACATTTCTGTACTAAGTTAAGGTTGACAAAGCCTTTTAACATATAGTATTTCATTTGATATTCACAACAGCTCTGAGAAGTATGTGCTCTGATTATTTCCATTTTACAGATGAGGAAACTGAATTTGAGGTTCAGTCTGAAGGTAAGTGACCTGCTCAGGGTCACACAGCTAGTAAGTGTCTAAGAAGGAATTGGAATTCAAGTCTTCCTGACTACCAAGTCTATCCTAAAATATCTCAGCAGTCTCAAATAGCGAGCTGAAAAGTAAGGTGATTTATATATAGCTTCAATATGATTTTGATAATGGATTCAGTATGATTCAATATGGCCTCAGTTCAAGGAATAAGCCATAGAGTTCCAGACTTACATCAATAGCTTCCAACCTTTATTTGGTAATGCCCACATCCCTTTATCTGACTTTTCATCAAATAATCTACAGAGAGATTTTTCTTAGCTTTTATTTGATTCACATAAAATGAAGAATTTATTACAGTGTATAAACTAATCTTAAATATGTAATAAAATAATAGCCTATGCCAGTATGTATTTATCAATAACCCTTTTACAATTTTCATATTTGTAACTTACAAAATAACTAAATTAATGTTTTTGGTACAAAAATTCTCAAAATATGGTATCATTGATGGTTTTGCTACATGTAATTCTTTCTGACACATAAATCGAGATTGGAATTCTATTTTGAAAACAACTACAGCAGAAAATCTCATTTCACACAAATAAGATGTTATAAATAATAGCATAATGTATATCACTTTGTTTAATAAACCAGAGAACTCTTTATTTAACCATAGCCAAATCATAGAAAGACCTTCCAGGTTCAAGTATGTATTTCAGTATACTGTAATAAGAGGAGTCTATTAGTTGGAGTCAGATCAAATGAATCATTTGTTCCTGGCAAATGGGTTCCTTATCCATTCAGATTTAGAAATATCTAGATCTTTAAAACAAGATGAGAATTGCTTCTGTAGATTGGTCAAGGGATTAAGAAGCAGGCATTTGTTTTCTTTTATTTCATTTGCAGAGAAGACATTTTTAAAAATCACGAAACATATGAAATATTGTTTTTTAAATTTGCTGTCAAAGTCTCTTATTTTTCATAAATTCATTCATTTACTATCTTGCTGGGTCCAAGTTTGAATTTTAGGACCTTGCCATGATTTATTTAGAGAACTCAGCTTTTCAAAATATCCACCAAATTTGCAAGTTTCTAAAAGGATTTTTAAGTGAATTTGCTTCATCTTTATTATCATTAAAATATCCTTTTTTTTCTGTTAGCTTAATCACCCTCCTAAATACTTTAACACAAAAAAGCCAGCATGTTTCAAAATAATTTATATTCTGCCCTCAAATATACTCTTGCCGAAAATCTAGCTAGCTATTCTTGTAAGAACTTAAAAAAACTGTAGGTAACTGTTTCGTCATATTTCTTGGTACAAATGATTGTCTGTGAAGCATGCAATGTGTCTAAATTATACAAGGGATCACATTTTAAAATAGTGTTTGTAGACCTGTGTTTTACAGAATATTCTATTCATAGCCAAAAGTCCTATAACCTTTGCTGTTTAAGTGTGCAAGGACCATGGTTATGGTGCAGAGGGAGATAAAATGCAACAAATGAGGGTAAGGTCCTGAATGGGAGTGATGAGACCCACTGATTTCTCGTTTCTAATTTCCCATAGTACAAGTTTTAGGTGAAATGAATTGCAACTGAGTATGCAGATAAGACTGATTCCTTTTCTTTATGAAACACAATTAGTTCATGGGATTCACTTGTCAATTTGCAGAAGCAAACCACCTAGGACTAGATATTTCTGCATTTGAAAGCAGTATCTCAAACTCTATGGGCCACAGTTTTAACATGCTAATTTAATTCACATCCCTGCTCACAAATCTTTATCCTCAAAAAGCCTACATGCCCCTGGGAGGATATAACATGTTGTGAGATAAGTATATAAATGATTGAGAAGAAAAGATAGCGAGTACTAACGACTAATATGTACAATCTAAGTAAGGTCTTTACAAGTAGAGGTTGTTTCATTCTTTATTTTTGTATCCCAAGTCCCTTATGTAATGCCTGACACATAGTAGGTGCTTAATAAAATTTGTTGTTTGTTGATTGAACTGACAGGATTGCGAAAGGCTTCCCACCAAAGAGGACGAATAATCTAAACTTTGAAATAAAATAGGGAATCTAAGAGACAGAGGTAAGGGACAGTGAATTTTAGGCATTAGGAATAGTTTACAAAAGTATGGAGGCAGGAGAGGAAGAGCCAAGTTCAGAGAGTAGCAACTTGGCCAGTCTGATTGGAATGTAGAATGTGCAAAGGGAAGTAATGTTCAATGATTTAGAAAAGGTAAATTTGAGCAGATTGTGAAGACCTTTAAATATCAAGCAGAAGAATTTGTGTTTTCTTCTAAAGACATTAGGCAGCCATTGAGGTTTCCACCATCCTATAGTTGTCCTCCCTTTCACAGCCACAAGCTAGAATAAGATATGTTTGTTAACCTTCACTTTCTCACCTCTTACTTCTCAATCCTTTATTGTCTGTCTTCCAACTGCTTCACTAAACTGAAACTGCTCTCTCCAATGTTAAAAATAATATATCAATTGCCAAATCGGATGACCTTGCCTCAGCCTTCCTCTGTTTCAACCTCACTGCAGCATTTAATACTGTCAGATACCACTGCCTTCCAGACCCTCTTTCATCAATTTTTTTCCTTTTTTTCCTTGATATCTTTCCTTGATACTGTTCTCTTCTTCTAACTTTTTTGTTTCTCCTTTTCAATCTCTTTTGCTAGCTCATGTGTGTGTACATATATATGTGTATATTATATATAGATAGATAGATATAGATATACATTTTAAAGGGTAGTAACAAAACTTTTATTTGTATGTCTTTTGGTTCTTTTTAGCTTTCTATCCATTTTTTAAAAAGAATGTTTGGCTGATACCCTTTCTTTTTCATATCTATCACTTCCCACTAACCTATCCCTTCTAACCTCTCTCCCAGAGTTGAAGACTTACTTACTTTATAACATATACATATAGTCAAGAAAAACAAATGAAAGGCCACCTCTAAGAATACAAATCTCATTCTTTATCTTGAATCCAGTACTTCCTTGTTAGCAAGTGGGAGCCATGTTTCATTCTCAATCCATACTCTCTTTTGGTCTTTTGGTGATCTCATCAAATCCTATGTATTAAACTATTACTTCTATGCAAATGGCTCCCAATTCTACATATCTAGCCCCTATTCTCCTTAACTCCAGTTCCATATCACCAATTACTTATTAGATATCTAAGGGAGGGCACATAACATAGTGAAATGACCATTGACTCTGGAGTAAGAGGACATGAGTTCAAATCTCACCTTTGACATTCACTGTCTATGTGACCTTATGTAAGCCATATAATTTCCCCAAGTTTTTATTTCCTCATTTCTAGAATGAATGGGATTAGATTAAATAGCTTCTGAGGATCCTACTAACTTGAAATCTATAAACCAATGATATTCAGTTGTATTCTGTAGATAACTTGAATTCACATGTAAAAAATAGCTCATTATTCCCAAAGTCCCCTCCTCTTTATAACTTCCTGGTTTTGTTAATGACATCACTATACTTTGAGTCACCCTGATTCACAACCTCAGAGTTAATCCTTGACTCTTCATGCAGCCTTCCCTTTCAGTTTGTACCAGATGCAAAGTCTTGTACACTGTTTCTACGATGTATCTTTCATACATCCCTTTCTTTGGAATTACTCCCATAGCTACTCCCAGGGCCTGTTTCAAGGCCTCATCTTGCCTGATATGCTTCCTAATTATCATCAATCTACCACTCTGAATGCATAAATAGTCTTTTCTAGTGAGATAGAGCCATTGTGATTCCCCATTACCTCTAAAAGTTACCAGGAGAGATTATAGAGGGAGTGCAATAGCCTGACTGCTGACATGATATTTTACATATACATATATACTCATAGAAACACACATACACACACACACATTTACACACAAGATTTATACACACATATATTTGGCCCAAGGTCAAAATAGCAATTTATTTATTTCTTATATTTTTATAAAATGCTATAAAAATCCATAGCAGATACTTTGCATATAATTTTACAATTTTAGTATTTACCAAGTTTTATGGCAACTTTTTTTAGTATATTCTGATAAACAGTGAAATTGTAAGCAATTCATCTTCTAAGGTTTTAATGCCAAGATTGTTAGTCTGAGCTTACTGCAGAGTCTTGGTATGATAGGAGACAGGCAATCAATACCCTTAGCTAATGATATCAATACCAATAATACCAATTACTTATAACATTTTTTTTAGGCAATTGGGGTTAAGTGACTTGCCCGGGGTCACACAGCTAGTAAGTGTCAAGTATTTGGCCTGAGGCCAGATTTGAACTCTGGTGTTCCTGACTTCAGGGCTGGTGCTCTATCCAATGTGCCATCTAGCTGCCCCCGCTTATAATATTTTTAAAAGGTCTACTAATAGCCATCAAGAAAAAACAAAACAAATTTAGAGGATTGTTCTCTGAAAAGGATAGAGATTATAAAAATTGTTATGATTATGAAAAAAATAGTATGACTTTTGTTTCTATGTCCTTAACAATGGGTATCAGAGGAAACTGAAATTAATGAAACCAGATAACTATAGATTTCATTCAATATTTTATTATTGTTATTTTTTTAAAAGTTTAATATCATTATTCAAGTACTCAGTTGGACACATTTTTAGTAAAAATAACTATGGCTTTCTTTTCAGACCTTAGAAAGAAACTGGAAATTAATTCGTGATGAAGGCCTTGCCGTGCTAGATAAAACCAAAGGTCTCTTCCTGCCTGAAGATGAGAATCTGAGAGAAAAGGGTGACTGGAGCCAGTTCACTCTATGGCAGCAAGGTAAACACACTGACAGGTTTTGGGGTTTTTTTCTGCTTACGTCCATCACCATAACATAAAATAACATAAAACTTATGTAAACATTTTGTCAAATATGAATTCTTGGCAGTTAAATAAGATGGGCAGTTTGTAAAGCTGTGATTTCTGGAATCTGTTTATTATTCAATTTGTACCCTGTTTGCATGTGTGTGTGTTTATATGTATATGTATATATATATATACATATATACACACAAATATATTTTCTGATCTTATATTCTGATTATATTTTTTATCAAATTATATTTCTGATTGTATTCTTATAATCACAAATTGTAAATTGAAAGGGATTTCTAGGGCCATTTAAGTCTTAAAACCTCTAAAAAAGGGTTTTTTAAAAAAAAAAAAGTAAACCCACTCAGTTTCTCCTGAGAAAGAGTCATATTACTTTTATATCTCTAATAGATAGGAAGTTTTTGTTGTTTACATTAAGGCAAGGCATACATTTATCAGCTACACTCCACTTTTAGCAGAGAGATAAAGCAGCAGCAGATGTCTAGATAGCTGAAGTACCAGTCTTAGCAGCCTGTAATATATACCTAGAACCATTTCACTTCTTTTTCTGCCTCCATTGAGCTTTCCCCAAAGGCTTTTTTTTTTTTTTTGAGACTGGGTCTCCCTATCTTGACTGGGTTGGAAGTTTAGTGTCCACTCATCCTGTGACTGATTGACATGGAAGTGTTTCCCCCAGGGTATTTCCTCTTGTTAGGTATCCTGGTATGGCCCCTGCCCTCCTGGAGGCTCACCATATTTGTGCCAGACTTAATGCAGCTTTAGCCCCAAGTCTGACTTCAGCATTGCTGCAGCTCAGAACTCCCATACTTAAGGGATCACCAGCCTCAGTCTAGGTGGATTACAGGTGTGCTCCAACAGGCCTAGTTTCTCAAAGTCTTTTTACCACAATTCTCTTCTAAAGGTCCTTCCATATTGTATACATGAAAACTACTACTCTGTGTCCAGACATAGGAGTGATACACCGTAGATGTGCTTTGCAGAGCCTTCTGCTGTTTGTGACCTTGTGCCTCAGACCAGCCCTCTCTGCTTGATGGAAAGACACTGAGCTCAGGTGCATTTCTTACATACAGTGAATAGCAATAACAACAGCAGCAGCAACAACAGCAACAGAAACAACATTAGCTAGCATTTATATAGCACTTTAAGATTTGCAAAACATTTTGTAAATATTATGTCGTATATTTGCAAAACAACCCTGGTAGACAGGTAGTATTATAATCCTCATTTCACTGATGAAGACACTGAGGCAAACAGAGATTAACTGACTTGCCCAAGATCATATAGTGAGTAAGTGTCTGAGGCTGGATTTGAACTTAAATCTTTCTGACTTCAGGTCTGGTCCTCTTTCCACTGTTCCCCCTAACAATAATTGTTTGCTATGTTCAAGATTCAAGTTTGCCAGCTTTCAAACCTACTGCAATAAATATCCAGCATCCTGGAAAATGCCCTGGGACCTAGAAATAAGGATATCTAGCTGGATTCAGGCTCTGTTACTCAATATGTATCTTTAAGTGATTCACTTAACCCCTCGGAGTCCACATTTCCCTGTTTGTACAATGTAGATTAAAATGCATGCCTTGCCTCCCACAGAGTGATGATATGAATAAAAATAATGCTGACTGCTTAACAGTCGCTGCTGGGAAATAATTCGGTTTCTATTCCCTCAAATGAAATAATGTTTGCAAAGGGCTTTGAAGACTTGAAAGCACTAAACATCAGTAATTATCCCTGTTGTTATGCACAACATAGAAACACCTTTCCCAGTATTCTGCATAGGAACACACAATTCTGGCTGCTCTGGCCCTGTTTCAGTTTGACCTGAAGTGGCCAAGAGCTGTAGAAACGTGCGCTATCTATTAGAAATGAAATAATAAAGAACATATTTATTGAAATATTTGAATGATGTGATGGAGAGAATTCTAGATTTGGAATCAAAAGACCCAGGTTTGAAACTTGGCAATGACTTAACTGTCTGTGACCTTGGACAAGTCATTTTAACCATCTGTATCTCAGTTTGCTCATCTGCAAAATGGCTTTGGTCATTTCAGTTTTTTTCTGGCTCAAAAGCTATTATCATTTTTATCTTGAGACAGCATGGCAAGATCACTGGACTTGGACTAGACAATCTCTCAGAGTAAAATCACTTTTCCTGGAGAAGAGAAGATTTAGAAGGGCAGATGAGATCTATTTTCAAGAATTAGATGATAATAACAATAATAATAATTTGCATTTGTATAATACTTTAAGGTTGCAAAGAGCTTTTCATACATTATATCATTTGATCTTCATAATAGTCATGTGAGGTAGATGCTGTTAGTATGCCCATTTTACAGATGAGGAAACTGAGTCTCAGAAAGGTGATGTTATTTGCCTATGGTCACACAGCTTAGTAAGCATCTGAGAAAGGATTCAAAGCTAGATTTCCTGACTGAGTCCAGGGCTCTCTCTAGTACACTCTGCTGCCTCTGAAGAGCTGCTTTGTGGAACTGTTATTTTACTTGACCCCACGGACCAGGACTAGGAAAAGGTGATGAAAGTTGCAGAGGAGCAGATATTAGCTTAATATAGGGAAGAACTTCCTGTCCATGAATAAGGATGGAACGTGCTACCTTGGGAAGTCACAAGTCCCCCAACCTTGACTCTTCCAGTAGAAGCTGCATATTGTAGAGAGGGTTCCTGTTCCCATTGAACTAAATGACTTCCATATTTCTCTTGGAACTCAGATTATGTGATTCTGGAATCTGCACTACAGTCAGCTGTAGAATCATAGACTCAAGTCACAATACTAAGAACCATAAAAAATACATGATAAACTACTGCTCTGGTTTTATCACTCTTTGACTCAGAATTCTTTAATGGCTTCCAATGGCTTAAAGACTAAAGTACAAGATGGCATTCAAATCCCTACACAATTTGTCCACGTTTCTAGTCTTAACTTCTTACTAGCCTAGGAGGTAGGTGATATTATTAATCTCCATTTTACAGTTGGGAAAACCAAGGCAAATAGAGGTTAAGTGACCTGCCCAAAGTCACACAGCTAGTGTTTTAAGTGTCTGAGACTGGATTTGAACTCAGGTTTTCCTGACTCCAGGGCCATTGCACCACCTCACTGCCTCTAAACAATGCAGAATCTGCTATCAAATGTGTTTGGTAAGGTTCAGCATATGTACCAAATCACCAGTGACTAAGGTAAGAAAAGAGAAAAGTAATTTGGAGTTAACAGTTTGGCCGTCAATTTATTGGCATGTTATCACAACACCTGACACATGTGGCTTTCCTGATTATTTTGAGTTATAAATTTGCATATGAGAGCAGATCATATTTCTTTCTTTTTTGGGGGGGGGGCTAGGCAATGGGGTTAAGTGACTTGCCCAGGGTCACCCAGCTAGTAAGTGTTATGGGTCTGAGGTCAGATTTGAACTCAGGTCCTCCTGAATCCAGGGCCGGTGCTCTATCACAGCACCACCTAGCTGCCCCCAGATCATATTTCTATATCTAAAATGTAATAAGATCTCTTCTCACAGACCATAAGAATTAATCAGTTCACTAATCTCTATTGGAGAGCTGATTCCAGAAATAGCTTTTTCAGTGTAAGAGCCATCCCATATATCTCCACACACAAGAGAATAAAAGTGAATAAAAAATTAAGTGAATAAAAATCATCCCCACTCCCTTTTCTAATTCTAGATGTTAAGTACGGAATTCAGAGAAACACAGTACAGATGCTTGTAGTTTTGCTACACCTTGAGGGTGATCATCATGGGGTCTGCCCTAGGTCTAAAAAGTAAATACCAGATAAGACCTGATTAAACATGGCCACCTACAGGTCCTGTGTTGTCACCTTACCTGTAAACAACTGCTGGAAGGTTTGATGGTCTCAAGTTGGATGTTTTCTACTCATTCTTCAAGAGAGGTTTGTCTTCTATGGGAGAAGAACTCGGAGTACAAGACTGAGCAACATATACATAAGAACATTAGTTTGTATATGACCTTCCATCCTTTCCAAGAGCCATCAGAAAGTGTGGACCAAGAAAATGAGAACATCTTTTTTTGTTGTTAGTTTTTTTAAAATTTAATTTAAATTTATTTTATTTATTTTTTAAATTATTTAATTAATTAAATTAATAATTACATTATGATATATTAATATAATATATAATAAATTTAATTAATTTTATTTTATTTTTGACAATTTATTTTTAATTTATTTTAGACAATTACTAAAGCTTAAATACACAATAGAGAAAAGACAAACATATTATAAACTTAAATATTGAAACTTAAATACAAAATAAGAAAAGAAAAAATGTATACAGCAGAACATAAGAGAGGATTCAAAATATGTAGCAATAAATATCCATTTCAAGAAAGCCTATATAATAAATATTACTCGTTTTGTTGAGAGCTGTCCATCTTTTCTTTGCTTACTTGTAAGTTTTCTTGTGTTGTCTGCTGTGTACTTTTTTTACTTTGTTCTTTTTTCCCCTTTCTTTTTTCCCCCAAGGTTACAATTATGCGCAAATGTGTTCATATCTCAATATAGATATATACACAAATATACCTATATACACATACATATGTACATACATACGTACATACATACATATGTAGACCTATACTTTTCCTAACGAATTCTACTCCTGATTTTTGTTTTTATATTTTTACATATCTTTTATTTCCTATCCCTCCTGACTCCTCTACTTTACTTCTACCCGCTACCTTTCCCTCCTATTACTTACCCTACCCCTGCCTCCAAGGATTCCTCTCTTATCCTCCCATTCCCATAAATCTAAACACCCTTCTATACCCCCCCTTTAACATATTCCCTCACCCTCCCCTCAAAAGATCCCTCCCTTATCCTTTCCCCCCTTCCTATCACCATAACATTTTTTTCTTTTAGGTGACTTTTATAGTCTTCTAAATATATATGTATTGTTCCCTCTTGA